ATTATTATAATTATTATTATTATTATTATTACTAATGACCGTAGCAAATAATAATAATAATAATAATGTTGCATGCATTGGACGGTCCGAAACCCATTCTTAAATCGCAAGTTAAATAAAAAAAAAAAAAAAAAGTAACTCCGTCACGCTGTTTTTGTGAGGCACTAGTGCGAGTCGGATGATCACGACGGCCTGCCTCTTCCGCACTAACACCGAACGGTTGAGACTTAAATCCAGTCCCGAAAGATTAATACCTCCGTCTGCAATCTCCGTTACAAATACATACACCCGTTGTTACATGATTCACCTCACTACTCACCCATAGTCACGTATACAAGCACTCGTAGTCACACACAAGCACGCATGTGCGCAACGTGCACGCGCGTGCGCACACACACACTTATACATACACGTCTTGTATATATATATATATATATATATATATATATATATATATATATATATATATATATATATATACGTATAAGCTATAAGCCTTAGAGAAGGGCTTTGTAGCTCACTAAATCTTCCTACTGGATCTGACAGGCCACTGCAAAGATCCACTCCACTGTTATTGGTAGAATGAAATACACACGCACGGCGTAATCATAGCGAGCATTCGGGGGCGTCGCATAATTCGGTACTTCTGTTTTTTGGGGGTCGTTCTTTCATTTCACTTGCTGGTAAAAATACTAGGTATTTATTTGTTATGGTTCATTTAATCTGGCACAAGGCTGGAAGTGTAGGGCTCCCCAGAGATTATCCAAATCACTGACACCCTTAAGGTAGGGTGACAGACGTTGCTCAGCGACGAGCCATTTATTTTATTTTACTATTTCAGTAAATGTTTAAAAAATAAAAGTGCAAGAAAAATATTTTTAAAAATATAAAAAAGAGCGTGAGTATGCATTTTACTTTCGACGAAAAATAGCATGTGTGTGTTTGTGTGTCTGAGAGCGAGAGAAGGAAAATGATTTTAATTCAATATATGGTGCTGAATATAAGTCACATAAGTGTCAGTGGCAATTTGTATTAATACTACACACAAACACACACACACACACACATATATATATATATATACATGCTTATTTATATTGGCAATCGAAATGAGATACACAACGATTCATGTAGATATTTAAAATGTTTTTATCGTGTACATGTACGTATGCGTCATTTTATATTAATACATATGTGTGTGTGTATTTTTTACAATGTATATATATATATATATATATATATATATATATATATATGGATATAGAGAGACAAGAGGAAAAGAGGCTAAGAATGGTTATATTTTTTATTTTTATTCATATTTATATATATATTATTTATTTTAGGCTATTAAAACATGTTAATTTTACCTGATACATTATATACATACATATATATATATATATATATATATATATATATATATATATATAATGTAATTTTTACAGATGATGCAAAAGCTATTTTAGAAAACAATAGGGTAATATTTAAATTGTCGATCTGAAAAAATATTCCATACAATATGACAAGGCAAAAACTAGAAAAAGAAAAACAAATCCCCGAAAAATAAAATATTAGTTTAAACGAAAAACCATTGAAATCTTTTAAGTTAACATTTCGAAACTACCATACACACACAATTTAATCTTCAAAAATTTAAATGCAATGTCAACCGCAATCTACTGTTCTGATTACACTTTTCTCTTCCCACTCATTATTAATGTTTCTGTTCGCAATTCTTCCAGTTCCAGTAACCCCTTTTGTTTTAGTGGCGTTATTGCCTTGCATGGGGTGAAACGGATAAAATATACATATATAATAGTTTAGACACTGTTATCCAGAAAAAGACAATTTTTCAAAAATGTTAAAAATAAGAACAAGGTCAAAATAAAGTAGCCACTAAGTTTCTGCAATTATTCATCGACTTGTCGATAGATAGATAGATAGATAGATAGATAGATAGATAGATAGATAGATAGATAGATAGATATGAACAGACTGAGATAGATAGATAGATAGATAGATAGATAGATAGATAGATAGATAGATATGAACAGACTGAGATAGATAGATAGATAGATAGATAGATAGATAGATATGAACAGACTGAGATGGATAATTGGTAAAATTATTTTAATTGGTGCTTATATATAGATACAATTACATATATGTATATGTGTAAATAAATATATATATATATATATATAATTATATGAACCGCAGATAAAGTGGTGATGTTAATAAAACAGTTCCGATGTAATACAACAGAGCTATTAAGTACATATTAATGAATATATATATTAACCCTCGCCGTTCGATTCAACACCTGAAGATTGTGTTTTGCATACAACTCCGAATCGTGCGAACGCTGAGAAATAATATATATATATATATATATATATATATATATATATATATATATATATATATATATATATAATATTTGTCGGATTAATAAATAAAAAAATATATATATTTATATATATATATATATATATATATATATATATATATATATATATATATATATATATATATATATATATAGGGTCTTGAAAGAACAATTACTATATAACGTAATATAGAATAATCGTTTGGAAGAGCAAAGATTTCAATAAATCTCCATCCACCGTCAAGAGAAACGTCATCATGAGTCGGTGGGTCACTCCCACTCTCTCTCTCTCTCTCTCTCTCTCTCTCTCTCTCTCTCTCTCTCTCTCTCTCTCTCTCTCTCATCATCATCATCATCATAGCAGAGAACACTATGACCAAGGGAGGCTGTTGCAAGCAGTAAACATGAATAGCAGAGGAATGGAAGGAGCCAACCCAAAATGTTGCGCCTTGAATTTCTATTACAAGAAGCGCGACGATTATTGCATGTCGGGCTATACTGGCGAGATTATACTTATTAGTTCTGTTGATGGGTTTTTTTTTTCCATTTTTTGTTTTTTGTTGATTTGCAACCAGGTTCGTTACTACTATTTTTCAATCTTCAAGGTTCCCGACGACTGCTTCTTTTGTTGGTAGAGGAGCAAATTTAATGGCTCACTCTGATGCCACAAGCAATGGAGAAATAATCTTGGGCTGATACACGATCGTGTAGAATGTTGGAAATTCAATATGTATTAGTCAGCGCATATCTATCTATCTATCTATCTATCTATCTATCTATCTAACATCATATATATTCCGATTTGTCTATCGATCTCTGTTCTGATCTTTTCGGCGTCTCCATATGTCTATTGTTTGTTTAGACGTATTTCTTCATATCTATCTATCTATCTATCTATCTATCTATCTATCTATCTATATCTATCTATCTATCTATCTCTGTTCATATCTATATATCTCTCTATCTATCTCTATATATCACTCTATTTTATATCTATCTATCTATCTATCTATCTATCTATCTATCTATCTATCTATCTATCTCTCTCTCTATATATATATATATATATATATATATATATATCACTGCGTTCATTTCTATATATCTATCTATATATCTATCCTTATTTATTGATTTCGATTCATTTCTATCTCCATTTCTCTGTCTCTCTAAATAAATACATACATATATATATATATATATATATATATATATATATATATATATATATATATGGTGGACTCTCCCTCGTATTCGACGTATGAGGGTCAAGCAGCTCAGTTCCTAGGAACCGACAGCCCAGACACCAGCACATAAGATTTGATTATAATTTGCGCAAAACCAAACATACTTTTTGTGTGGTTGTTTCTGCACAAAATATATATACATACATTCATTCATATATATATATATATATATATATATATATATATATATTGCTTCATTTCTATCTATCTCCATTTCAGACACACACAGACAGATCTCTCTCACTCTTCCCCCATATCTATCTATCTATCTATCTATCTATCTATCTATCTATCTATCTATGTGTTGTACATTTCATTTTCTTTTTGCTTCTGTTTATCTGAATTTAATCTAATTCCTTGCACAGTGGCGAATATTCTTCATAGTCATAGCCACCGTTTACATGAAATTAACGCTGTACAGTCTTACACATACAACGGAAACAAATACATGCGCATGCTTGTAAAATCGCTCATACGTACACCATTAACCTCTCTCTCTCTCTCTCTCTCTCTCTCTCTCTCTCTCTCTCTCTCTCTCTCCATCAGTCTTTACTGTTCTCTACTATGTTTTGTTAAGCAGGTTACATGGGTAAAAAGGTGCTGGAAGATTGTGTTGCGAAAAGCGAGATGACAAAATACACACATTCCAGATCCTGGCTTTTAACGTGGCTCCGGCAATGACCTTTGACACCAGTAGTAAATTTGCAAGTGTCTCAACTTTTCTCTGTATTTGAAAACATTGTTGGTGGGTTTTCACTGGTCATCCATGTGTAAAAAGTCGTGATGATAGTTTGCATACGCAATCACGACTCCCGACGCAAAACAAAGACAGAGAAATATTTATAGTCTTATGTTGACATCTCTCTCTCCATATTCATTGATACGGTCAAGGTAGATTCAATTAATTTTTTATTAAGTTTTTTTTTTTTTCCCAGCATAGGCTCGATATATCAATCAGTTCTCTTCAGCATAAACCTTACGCTATCTAATAGTCGAAATGGTGTGTTGAAAGTTTTTTAAAAAATAAAACATAGATAGATGCTCACGAGGATTTCAGTTGCGCGCGGCAAATGAGAGCTTGGAATAAACGCTCTTTTTTCAAATAACAACGCAAACATAATTTACAAAGTAACAGTCAAACATGAGGAACAAAATAACAACACCAGAGACAAAACACCCTTGAAAATGGCTATAAAAGTAGCCGACAAGCGCTTGGTACAATTAAAATAATGGACTATTTTTATATTCCTTAACTTCTTCAAAACGGACAAATGTTAGGATGCTGGAAAAACTTAATAAAAATTTCATTAAGTTTTCCTTGTCGACTGTTTTCCATCAAAGATGTTTGAAAGAAAGGTTTCTAC